AGTATTACTGTGCTATAAAGGATAAAGTTGAGTCATTCTTAGGAAAAATAGATGCTTCTTGAGACCATAATGTTAAGTGAAATAAATCAGACACACAAAATTCAATATAACATGGTTTCTCTTATATGAGAAACCCAAATATAAATAAATTAAAAAGAAAAAGAAAATATAGATAATAGGAAACGGGGAGATAGATCTTTTGCAAAAGTTAAGGAGATCAAGAGTGGACAAGGGGAATATAGAGGCAAGGAAGAGGGGTTGAAAAAAGAAATAATATATATTATATATACACACTAACTCCCCATGGTGAATGTAGCCATTATGTAATTCAAATATGTACTCATAAAATAATAAAAAACAAACTTTTACTCTCCAAAGGAACTTAAGAGGATGAAAAACAAAGCTACATATTTGCAAACCATTTGCATGAAAAAAAACTGGTATCTAAATATGTAAAGATTTTTGAAAACTCAACAAAGGTGCCTGGTGATATAACTTATTTGTAGAGCAGTTGTCTATCATGTGTGAGGACCTAGGTTCTACCCCCAGTAGCAAAAAAACACACAAATCTTAAGAAGGACAATTCCAACTATAAAATGGATAAAAATGTGAATAACAATTTTACCAAATACTTAAAGTTATTAGCCATTATTAAAGAAATACAAAATCAAATCATGAGATACCAAGATGAGCCTACCACAATGGCTATAATTAAAAACTGTGACAACACCAAATACTACAAGTATATGGCAAATATACAAATATATATGGTAAATGGATAAAGAAAATGTGGTTTATTTATAAAATGGAGTACTACTCAGCCATAAAAAATGAGAAATTAGAGACATTTATAGCTAAGTGGATGCACATTGAGGCGATACTCTTAAGTTAAATAAATAGGACACACATGTATAAATACCGAATAGTTTCTCTGGTGTGAGAAACTGAAAGTGTAAATATGGACTAAAATGTATAATAGGTAATGTGAAATAGGAAGAAAAGGGGCAAAGGGGAAGGAAGTGGGAGGGCTAGGGGAAAGGATAGAAGGGAATGGGATTAATATGAGAAAATGGAAAAATAGGAACAAAATCTTTGTAAATAGGGAGGAATGGAGGGGTCGAAGGGAGGGCTGGGAAAGGGTGAAAAATAAGAACCAAGAGAGACTATGTAAAGGTGCAAATTTCCAATGATGAATGTCATTATATTGTATACCTACAATGTACCAATGATTAGAATGAATAATAGATAATGCAAAATAGGAAGAAAATGTCCAAAGGGGTAGGGGCAGTGGGAGGGTCAGGGGAAAGGAAAGAAGGGAAAGGAAAAATGCTGAGAAATGGAAAAAATGGAAATAAAGTCTTTGTAAATAGGGAAGGGTGGAGGGGGTGAAGGGAGGGCTAGGAATGGGGAAAAAATAAGAACCAAGATGCATTATGTAAAGGTACAATTCGCAATGAGAAATGTAATTGTGTTGTATACCTAAAATGTACCAATAAAATAATTTAATAAAGTGCAAAAAAAAAAAACCAAGTATATGGCAAAACTTTGTCTCTCATATAATGCTGGTGGCAATGTAAAATGATACAATTATTTTGGAAAATAGTTTGACAGTTTCTTATAAAACTAAATATGCAACTAACTTACAACTTATATTCACTCTTGAACATTTATTCCAGATAGAAGAAACTTATTTTTCCCAAGAAATTGTTTATAAATTTTCATTTAATTTTTGTTTTTAATGGCCACAGACTAAAAACCATGCAGATTACCTGCATTGGGTGAATAAACATTGTTGTGGCATATTCATTCTGTGGAGCCTTACTCAGCAATAAAAAAGAATGAAATTTGCTTACATGCAACTCTTGGATAGATTTCTAAGGAATTATGCTGAGATAAAGGCCAATTCCAAAAGGTTATATACACTGTATGATTTTGTTTATACTTCTTTATGGAACTGACAAAATTATTTACAACTGATTAGTAGTTGCCAGTTACTTAGGATTGTGATTAGGTACAAATGATGTAGCTACAAAAACAAAAATCAAAAAACAATATGGGTATCCCTTGAGGTAATGACATTTTCTTGTATCTTGATCATATGGACCTCAATATTCTGATTATGACATTGTACTACAGTTTTGCAAAATGTTACCACTGAGCAAAGCTTGGTGAAGGATACATGCGACCTCTCTATATTAATTCTTGCGTCTTAACGTGATTCAACAATTATCTCGAGAATGAAACTTAAAGTAAAAATAGGGTGTTAAAGAATATGCTACCATTTGTGGAGCATAGGAATGTTTATATGACACTAGCCAGCTGTATGTATGAAACTGCTAATGGGGCATAAGGCTGTAAAGAGGAACTAAAAAATTGGAGGTCAAGCGCATAGGGACATTTTCTTTTTAAAAATATATTTATTTTTATAGATGCCAATAAAAGAAAATAAAAGAAATTGTTTCATAGCTCTCCATGCACTTTTTCATGTAAAGCAATACAATAAAAATTCACAAAGTGAGAACTGAGTTAAAAACCATCCACTATGGAGTAAAGAAAAATGTGACTTGATTCTTTCAAAAGTAGACCATAAGGAAAGGGTACAGGAAATCTCATGCTCATTACAATAACAGTAGTCTCATGCATTTCCATTATTTTCATCATTTAATTTAACATAATTAAGTATAAATGCCCATTAGCTGTTCATGAAAGACTTGTTAAATCATCTCATTGATAAGTTAATACTCAGATCACATGTAAGAAAGACTAGAATCTTTGAATAGAAGTTGATATTTAAGTAGATTTCTTAAAAGCTAATGGGGAGAGATTGTGGCCTGATAGACAACAATTGTCAAAATGTCAGAGACTCAAGTAATATCCATTGTGCTCAATTCCCATCAACACCAAACCATGCTATTATTTCAAAAGCTGCTTGTAAAGATTTTGATTAACCCTTTCCAAATTGAAATAAAAAGCCACAAATAATCTGGCTTAAAATCAATTAGCATAGTTGAATTTCAGTGGCAAGTTTCTCTTTTTTCAGTTTATCACTTTCTCTACTGGCAAGTTGCAACACATTAATTTTTTCTATAGTTTCACCTTCCATTACAATGTAGACAGATAAACAAAAGGCAAATATCATCAGTTTGGAGACTTTTTAACCTTTCATTCATTCTTGCAATTATAAACTCAGGAGCATGTTAATTCAATTACTCAGAGCATTGGATCGAGATGTAGATTTAAACACAAGAGAATTATAACTCAGTTCTTTCAAAATTCAGATTACTAATGTGCTACACTATTTTCCATCATTTTACCAATAAATAATGAAATGATGTGTTTCACTATGGACATTCAACTCAATTTTAATTTCAGATAAATGAGGGCACACATTTACCTATCTTGCAGATTCACTTCCACATAGGCTAGAATAGTCAGAAATAACAACTTTTTTAAAAAAATTTAAAAACCCAGCTGCTCTACACAACACATTTTAACCATACTAGTATGACAATAATTCATCAATGCCCCTACCAAATCTCCACTTGTATTAAGAGTTATGTTTGAACATAAAAGTATTGGTATGAACTGAAAGAAACAAGTATTAGTTTTTAAAAAATCCAATGGACATTTTTCTCTAGTGTCGCTGTTCAGATTCATTTATATTTTCCAACACTAATTCTAACTTTGATGTTATAAGTATTAAAAAGTAACATTTCTGTTTAATTTTCATGGGACTCTGACCTATTCTAATTTCTAACACACCTGTACTTATGGTAATTGTTACAAGTGCTGTTGAGGGGGAAGTATGATAATTATGAAAGAGAATTACTAGGTACCAATGACAATCTCAGAGGTAGAAGTTGAATTTTTATTTGAAAAACAATATTAGCTGATTCTGGGGTGGGAATGGTAGCACACATCTGTATTCCCAGCATTTGGGAAGCTGAGGCAGGAGGATCACCACAAGATCAAAGCCAGCCTAAGCTACATAGCAAGTTCAAGGCCAATCTGAACTACATAGTGAGACTTTGTCTAAAATATATATATATATATATATATATATATATATATATATATAAGCTGATTCTGAAACTTTCTCTAAGTCAAGAATCAATTGCTTTAGATTTTTCTTTGTTTAACTGGATAAACCAAAATATAGGAAACCAAATAAGTAGATTTATAGTCACTCTGTATTTTTATACCCAGCTTTTCAGTGCTCTATTAGTCTAATGACATCTATCATCACTTATAAAGCGTATGACTCACAAACCATGAAGGGCTAAATGCTTAAAGTGATATTTGTACTGCTCCTGTGTTACATGGGTACTATATCAATACACTGTGATTACATAAACTACATATATCTCTTTGACAAAGTGTGTAATTATGCAATGAGTTACTTTGAGGATAACAGCACAGAGGTTCTTGTTATCTTTGGTATGGGCCATGAGAGACACAAGAAGATTCTGGTACTGACCCAGCAATTTTCATTACTAAAATGATCTGGGATAAACTTTGTATTCCCTAACACACCAAGGCTGTCTTTCTCTTCCTGTTCTCATACACACATCATCTAAATCATCTTTTCAGATGTGTGTGAACCAGAGGTATCTCTGCTCTATCTCTCTGTGAAGGGCAATAACAAAATGTTACAATCCATTTAGCAATAAACTATGCATTCTTTCCTCAGGTCTCTCCTTACACTTTATTTGCAACATTTACTTCCTCTATAAATTTTATCTCGTAGTCTTTAGTAATTTCTGGGAACATAAGTAGATACATACTCAGATGGTATCTCTTTCCTCCATAAGCTAGAAATAATGTCTCAATATAAATTCCAATTCTATGTTTTTGTGATTTAGATTCTAAATTTTAGAAAGCAAAAATGCACACAAATATTAAGACCATACCTTCTGCTGAAAGAGCTAGGGGAAGAATGTCAGAATGAGAAAGCAGCATGCGATTTCACTGATTCAACAGTAATAGAACTAAAAGGATACCTGATAACACAGGCATAAAGCCCACTGTCCTGTAGCAATGTCGGCCGGAACCAAATGGAGTCTTCCTCTTTGCTCATTCTACTTCCATCAAAGGCTATTGGTTCTTCAAAATCTCCAGGGCCAGAGCTCTTGTACCACATCAAACTGAGTCCAGCACTTTGGGCAAGGGAATAATTTGTTCTGATATAACCATAAAAGAGTGCACATTTGATTCGAACAGGTTCTCCCACCAATACTTGATATTTCTTAATGTCGATGGACCAATCAGTGCATCCATCTGCTGTAGTACAAAGAGAGAGAAAAAAATAAAAGAAAAGTTAAACAATCAGTTAATTCATTAATTCCTTTAACAAATATATGTGCTGAGCATCTATTTTGAGTCACTGTAGGTCTAGAGAATATAGTAATGAATAAAACTGAAAATGACCCTGAAAAGTAGTTTATCCTGCTAGCAAACAATGTGTTCTTTCTTCAGTCTGCTTCTGCTGGAAATTATTTTTAGTTTAGATCAGTATGCTCATTATTGATTTATGTTTTTCAATTCTAAATAGATTTTTTTTTGCCTGCTGTGTAAAATAGATCTGGGCCTTTGACAATTTTTTGCTTTGCTAGGTGGCATCGAAGCTTTGTCAGTAGAAGGTGCTGAGGAGACATTGCAGGAGGAAAGGGCTTTGCTTCCTAATTCCAGCGTACTTGATTAGCCAGTTCCTACAGAGTACAAGGCTTCTCCAGCTCCCAGCTGCTCCAGTGAAAGGCAGCCAGCAGCTCTGCAAATTTTTAGCCAAGTCTCAAGTGAGCCACTTACTTATGAATAGCTATCCCAGAAACCTTAGAGGAAGAGTCTCTATCAACTTCCTGAGGACAGATTTCTAACAAATTATACAAGTTCAGTAACTTGATGACTCTTGCCATTCATGGCTATACCTTCCCAACAAGGCCAGGACCTCTGCTCTGCGGATAGGAGAACTACCTTGGGTGCTCTATCTCATTTCTAGGGGGAATGGCAATTATTCTTTAGCATTCTCTTTTGCTACCCACTCATATATTGAAGCTAACACCCAAGGCGATGGTATTTAGGTATGGAACTATTGAGAGATAATTAAAGTTAGATGAGGTTAGGAGTTTGTGGCTCTTCCGATAGTATTATTGTCCTTATAAGGTACATGGGAGCTTACTCTTCTTTCTCTATCCTCTTGTACGCAAAAATAACAGGGCAACTAAGCACATAGAAAGAGATAACAGGCTGTAAGTCAGGAAGAGGATCATCACCAGGAGCCAAATTGGTTGGTACCTTGATCTTGAGGTTTTCATACACTACAACTGGGAGAAATAAACTTATGTAGTTGAAGCCAGCCAGTCCATTGTATTTTGTTATCGTGGCCCGAATAAACTAACTGATCCCTTCATTAATCAAATCACCTATTGTATTTAATAATTCTTTATATATTTCTTAGTTTAAATTACTGTGTAATTTTTCTCTTTAACACAAACTGATAAAATCAGGAATCTGTCAATACAGACAAACAAAATAGAAACGAAAGTGAGTTGAGCCCTAGTACTATTTTACAGTCAGAGGGAGTGATGGCTCCTGTTTTCTGACTTCTGGGAACATTATAAAGAAGAAAACGTAGTGGGAAATGAGAAAGGTGGGGAGAGAGTCGGATTAGACTTTCTTCGTTTCCTGAAGGTATGATTTTCCAAATGACATCATTTTTTTAAAGTTCTGCCTCTCCCTCACGTACATACAAAACAACAGGTCTCAATGGGGCAGGTACACCAACATCATCATCACAGAGAAGTTGTGGATTTCCCACTTAGAGAGGGTTATTGTCCAATAATTGGCAATAAAATGAAGGTAGCTTTACTCAGAATATGCCACTGTTGATGAAAAGAGCAAAGATCTAGAAAACAGAACCTCCAACAGAGTAACATCTAAGTATTGTAAGAAGAGTTTCATTGAACACAAATTAGTAAGAGGATGACCTAAAGTCTCTGAGAGCAACATGAACTACATACAATTGAAGGGAAGGGAAAATGATCCTGGTGGAAAGGAAGATGTACAATAGAGCAAAGGCAATATATAAAACATGTGGAATTAATTATTAATTTTATGATAATATCTAACATCTAATAAACATTTAACTATGCACGGATGAGTTTTAAATTTTTTATTTACCCTTCACAAAAAAAATTCATTTGGCTTTGGAATTGTATGTTCCCTCTCTCCGAAACATTTTTCATCATATAACTGCATGGCTTCCCATCTCCTTCGCTCTAAATATCAATTGCACAAAGAGGCCTTTCCTAACTGTCTTTTATGAAACAGTATCTTCCTATCCAACTTAATCTAGATCTGCATTCATTTTATAGGACTTAGTTCTATCTTACATTGCATTAGATACCTATTTGTTGTTTGTTTTTTGTCTTTTCCAACTGGATTTAAGCCCCCAGAGGTCAGGAACTTTGTCTTTTCACTTACTTGTTTAACAGCCCCAGTGCCTAGAAGTGTCTACTAAAGAGTGCAATACATTACTTACTAAATAAATGAGTTAATGAATAAATAAACAAATTAATGACCAAAGAGTATCTGAAGAAATTCCATGGCATTTAAAAGAGGATTGGAAATGAGCAAGATATGTTATATACATGCATGAATTCCTAAAGATGAACAACATTATTCTGTAATACAAACATGCACTGATAAAAAAAATAAGTGTGAATGTTTGCATTCTCACCCAGCTATGTGCTAACCTAGAATTTATTCTCCCTACCACTGTGTATTCTGCTTCTTAATGAAGGTGTCAATTTCATACCATTCTTTGATTTAGTCTGTTTAGTTATTAAATTTGAGGCTAAGTTTCTTATTAAAGTGTTATAGTAAGGTACTATCTAAAACAAATTTGCTGGAATTTTGGTGGAAATCATCAATATCTGCATCATCACCATCATTCCTGTCAAAGACTACTGCAGAGCCAGCATACTATCCTAAATAGGATGAAAGAGCTACACAAACAGCGATATCAAGGTTAGATAATTGTATGGGATATTTATCAACACAAGTTTGTACATTTGGCCCATTAGATGAAAAATGATTTTATTTTAACCAGTTATGATCCTGGTTATGAGCATGAAATTATCTTGTTTTACCACTAAATGAATTTTAACACAACTCTAGAATCAAGTTATTATAATTGAGGTTATTTGTCACACATGATAGTGCCGCTACTGGAAAACTTTGAAAAACCTTCAATTTAGCAGTTGAAAGAATAAGATAAAATTATCCAAAATCTCAGAAGATTAATAAGATAAGGCAAAATGCTTGAAGGTAAAACAAAAAGATTTAGTCTAGAAAGTTCTAAAAACTTAGTAACGAAGTAGATCAGGAGGACAGAGGGAGAGTTGTATTGTGAATATGTAGATATTCACAAACACTTTTTGGGTATACTTACTGAGTAAAATGTTCAAAAGCATAAATATTACTGAAAATTGGTGTTTCCAATTGGCCACGGAAGAAAATTTCAAATGACAGGAGCATATAGCAAGGAAAAGCCAGAGGCAAGATGAAGACGACATCATGAGTAAGAGAGATTCACTATGTTCATTTTAACATGGAAATAATAGTATATGGCCTAGGTGGTTTTACTACCACTCAATCAAATGCACGTTATAAAAAAACTCAGATTATTAAGCAGGTTTAACCATTTTTGCTAAAAGATGCCAAATACAATAAAGAATAATGTGAGATATATTTAATTTTTTGATAAATACATTTAAATAAATGATGGAATTCTATCTGTTTTCAATAGTTACAATAAATTATTTTTACACGAAAGAAGTGATAAGAGATATTTTTTCTTTGTTAACATTTTGCCTCATTTTTGCGCATGTTCTCTTTCTCACTTTGTATCACATTTTTTCCCTAAAGCAGTTGAAAAAAAATTAAATTGGAGACATAATGACATTTCACTACAAAATACTTCAACAACTCTTTATGAATATAGCCACTTTTATTATATAACCACAAGTACTTTTTTTAAAAAAAAACTTTGTGTAATAAGACAGCTCAAATATTAAAGGAATATATAATCATGTAAATCTTAACTCTTGATGACCAGAATTACTATTGATACACTCTGTTTTTCCTTACTTCAGCACACAAGCTCTCTTGCTTTGGAACAATCATTTAAAAAGCATAGTTCAATACAGTGTTATTTAAAATATATGTTACCAGGTAGCTATTATTATTATTATTAAAATTTTCAGTTAATTATTTAAACAAGGAGTATTTAATCTGTTTTCCTTCTTTCAGAATAAAATATTCTATAAAGCCAGCTCAGACTTTTCTATTGGTACTATTCTTCCGTGAAAGGACGATTCCATGGAAGTACTCAAATTCAATACTCCTCTGCAGTTCATATTCCTTTACAGCTGGTAGAAGTTTATGAAGCCATAAAATTATGTTGAGGAGCAAGGCTAGGAAGCATCATTTTCATTCCTTTTTTGTCACTACCCATAAAGTTTTGTGAACTTATACAAAGACGATGAAACTGAGATTTGGAACTAATTCCCTTAGAGTATCATTTCATGAACAAAAGCTATATACACTAAATAATGTCAATACATTCAAATGAGATCAGTGAAAATATTTTAATTAAGTCACTATTACTACATATGTAAGAGCTCAAAATATTTCCATAGTAACAGGCTTGAGAGTTGAATTCTAAATAAATCAGTCTAATCATAGAGCTTACACATATTACATGCCAATATGAAAAAATAAGACTTTTAGAAGGCAAAATGTATTACTTATAAAGTATCTAATTGAAATAATTATATTGGAATAATTATAAAATAATTAAGATATCTACATCAGTGTAGACAATACTTCATCATGACCCCCTTTACTAAGCTAATGTATCCTGTTGTCTCCAGCTCATTTGAAGTTAAATGCTAACATCTCACAGTTACCTCCTTTGCAAAATTACATTTGACTGATAAAAGCTACCCTTCTGGGAATTTTTTTCCCCGTGGGTATGGCCCATTGCCAATAACTGACTGATAGGGACTTACAGAACTCTGGCTCCTTTGCCTCTAGTGTAATGACTCTGTGGTGCAGTTTATGTTTCAGATTTCCTTATATGTCTAGCCCAGAGTTCACCTAAAACTTCCTCCTCACTCAGCTTTTTCTACCTGTTTCCTTCCTTTCCTTACAGATTTTTCCTGAAATACACTTCCTCAATCAATTATGTGCGGTCAAAACCCTGTGTTGATCCCAGTTGC